ACCCGACAACCTTTCACATGGTTCTACTGAACGACAGCCACCCCCCCCCGAGCTGTGCTAATGCAGATTCACACTGGTGGCATGAAGCTCAGTGACCCACCACGCCCGTAAATGTCAGCGCTTTTCGAAAGATACTCAGTGCTCCTGAAAACCAGCCGTCTGGCCGCAGAACACGATCAGGGCTGCGTACCAAAATGGCAATTACTTTGCTGGGAGGTTCAAGGAGTGTTTTTAATATAATACCATTGGCAATTTGCTTCTGTTTACACCAATATTCGGAAAGTCAGCTGGGTTACGGCAACGCATTACACTCAGACCGGAGCGAGAAATTGTGCCCGGTGCAATTTAGATTGGATGTAAAATAAACGATTCAAAGGAATAGCATGATGTGAGGTTAATTTCACGCTAAAGAGGGGTGGTGTTTGAAATGTCATTACCTGCTATAAGCCAGGGCTGAGCCTTTTTCATTAATCTGTACTGTTCTGGGTGTCCTCCAGAGGGGGCTCCTTGCCCCAATGCCAGCTCCCTGCAGGAAGTGCGGAGCTGCAACGCCCATCCCTGCACGGTCTACCACTGGCAGACGGGCCTCTGGGGCCAGTGCACTGAGGACGCGTCCGCCTCAGTGTCCAACGGCACCAGCTGGAGCGGCGACACCGCGTGCGGCATCGGCATCGGCGTACAGGCCCGCAAGGTCATCTGCGTCCGGGTCAACGTGGGCCAGGTGCCTCCCAAGAAGTGAGCAGTAACCAAGAAGTATAAAGGGCATTTGTTCCACAGGGGCATTTGTTCCAGCTGAAAGATGATTGGTCCTCGGAGTGCCCCCATCCCTGTCACTCACCGATTCAAAGCACATTATTGGCTAATAATAAGGTTGGGCCCTCTGTGTGTATTATGATCCCTCATATGTCCCCACCTTAAAAAGAGATCCTAGTAACGCCCCTGAAAGTAAGGGAACAGCTTGTTTTGTTGATTTTCATTGAAATCGTGTCAGACTCGCTGCACAAACAATCTGTACTTCTACTACGCGGAGTAAACACCGAAGGAGCCTTGCTGTACTTTCATGGTCAGCCTAAAACCCGTCCAGCGTTCCCCTTAAATCCAACATAAATCTGTGTGGCAGTCGTTTAGACAGCTGCTTCGTTTCTTGGCCGCTGGAGCGTTACCAGTTGATGTGCTGCAGGACACTTACAAGTGTTGAAAGAAACAAGTTAGAAAACCTCCGGAGGATCGCTGTGTGCGATGAATCACTGGCTGAGCTTAAACCAATAAGAGCCCCAAGGGAGCTAATAAAGGGACTTCTGGGGAGTGACTTAAATGCATTTGTGTTTGACGTTGCACAGAGCCGTGGCCCTTATAGCTCAGTCCTCCAGCAGCGAGAAGGATTGGAGGCTTTAATGGAGTCTGGGTAGGAAGCTGAGCCACCCAGCCTACTTCTGTATTTTGTCTAGACAGACGTGATGAGGTCCACCATGATCCACCTGACGAGCTCACAGTAAACTAAGTCAATGCATGTGCTCCATCCCTTAATCAAAGCCGTGTCAATAGAAGATTGCAGATAATCACATCTTGCATTGTTCTTCTCTAAGGGTGGCTGTTTTCTGTCATGTCGGCAACACTTTAATCAATGAGGCTATAGGTAGATCATATTTAATAGGCATTATTGTGTCAGATCCATTGTGATGTTTGGGGTCCCTGCTGAAAATAGGCACCTAAAAAACAGCTGGTTTTCGCTGGTCTAAGATTGTCTTGGATGGTCAGATGCCAGTTCTTGCTCATCTTTGATACTTTCACTGGGTGTGGCCCGCCTGTCAAGCTGGTCATGCTGGTATGACCAGCTAAACCAGCTAGAATGACCATCATAAGCTTATATGACCAGTATACCATCAAAAATCATGCAAAACATACCTTAAGCTGGTCAGCTACCATAAGTTGACCAAACTCGTTTTTTCAGTGGGGGTTTATGAAATAAAATTGTTACTACTGCTTCACTATCTGCCCAGGAATATGATTTCAAATCAATACCAACCACAGGACACTAGAGAACAAGATTTCCTTCTGTAAATATATGTTAAAAAAATAATTTAATGTTGCAGACTATTTTAGATGCTGTGAATGATCAGTGTGATATTTCGGTAGATCCGGAATCTTAAAAGCTTTTGAGAGTCAGGTTATTACTCTATTTTCTGTATCAGTAAATGTGCTGAATTTGAGTCCAGGGGCAGGAAACACGCAGTGCCGTCTTCCCAGGCAGAAATCGGGTCTCAGTTCCTAGCAGAGGGATTTTGTTTCAGTCTAACGGATTTTTCACTTTCACTGGTATTAAAAATAAATCTGTGCTTACAGCTATTGCTTTAATGCATTCTGGCACTCAGGCAACAGCACGTAGACCGACGCTTTAGCTTGGTCCGGAAAGAACCTCACATGACATCCTGATGTTAGCCTCCACGCAGGCGATCTGAAGTGACTGTGCAGCACAACAAGAGCTAGGAGTTCGACGTAGTATTAAGCCAAGTCAGATCTGCCAAACATTCAGATCATTGTCCTTAATTTAGCTGGACAATTCACTGGGTTTATATTCATCCAGTTGACGAGTGCTGGTATTTTAAACGAGACGGAAGATTAAATTTAGACTCTAGCCCATATGCCTGTAAACTGTTAAATATAATCTCATCCAACTACACTGATTATCTCACCTTTATATAACAAAATTGTGCAATATGAGCTCCACCAAGCACAAGTGAGTTTAATCCACTGCTGAAGAAGCCGCGGAGAAGCCTTTCTTAGGGTTGCATGATAGCTCATTTCCGAATGCCTTAACCTCCATTCACATGAGAATAGCCTATGTAGGGTTCGCTGATCTCCAGAGGCAGTCATGATGTTGTGTTGGGGTCTGTGTGTATCTCCCTCCTGTGAAGTAAGTGTCAGACAGCAAGTCCTCTGTTTGCTGCAGGTGCCCCGAAAGCCTCCGCCCTGACTCAGTGCGGCCGTGCTCACTTCCTTGCAAACGGGACTGTATAGCTACCGGCTTCAGCGACTGGACCCCGTGTCCATCCACCTGCCCAGAAGGTATCTCCATGATCATCTGTCAAAGCATTACAACAAGCATAATCATTTCTATTTAAGGAGTAACGTGGGAGTGAGGACTGTGCTTTCTCCACTCCACTCAGTGATTAGCTGTTACTTTTGGAAAACCAACTTAGTGAAACTGGGCCCCCCATTAACGACACAATGGAAATGAGTTTTAAATTACTTGTGCGAAAAACATCACCATCGTCAATTAACCTCTAGCAGAAGAACGACACTAATTTCCAGTGAGAGGAGTCTTAATCTATTGCACAATAGCGTATACATACATATACGCATGCGTGTACAGCCACCTACATGTCCTGGTTTATGGAGGCTTTCAGTTTGAGCTGCAGCCTTTCAGAAATAGACATTTTTAGAAAATATTACAACAGCTATTACACAGTGTAATTGCTTTATAGTAAATCTATGGTGTTAAATCAGCAGCATTCATTAGCTAACGTCATTAATATACAAACACTACAAATTGACTTCAGTTAAATTGGAAATTCTGTTCTAATCAAGCCCATTTTGTGTACTAGGGTGTAAATACAAGCTTTAGGTGAAATGAGTAATGCACTCTACATTGGTTAAAACCAGAGAACAGGAGCCTAAATCAATAACCCCTTTCGATTTCATTAACCAGCCTCTGACATGATCATGTCCTAAGCTACATCTTTATCTTGGTTATGGCAGAAGGCAGCGCATCATAGTAAGCTACAACTGTCAATACCTTCACAGGAGATAACCTCCCTATCATAAAACTCTGTTATTTGTGAATTGTAGCCATTTTTACTAGCACAGTCAGATATTTGTACCTAGTCAAACCACTTTCTTCCTCCTGGAAGAGTGGCGGACTGAAAATAATGAGGTAAATCTCAAACTACAAGCGGTGGAAAAACACAGGACTGCAGTGTCTGTCATTCATTGGTTAAAAAATTGTATTTGGAGGTGCAAGTGTGACGGTGAAGCAGTCTCGGAATCGCATCATTATTCAGTGGCCAACCAATGGGGGCCAAGACTGTCCTGAAGTGCTTTATGAGGAAAGGACGTGTGACGCCCCAACTGTCTGTCAGGAATACAGGTATGGGTGCAGTTTAATACCAAACAAATGATCCCTGGCAATTTTATTGCTCTTACTGTTACCCTGTTCCTCTTACTGTTATGTATGTACAGACACTCCTCTACTTCTGAATTTTCAATTTACGAACTTTCAGACGAACAAAGAGGACTGTAATTCCAAATTGTGTACATTGGGCTCCTTTTCCTGTCCGCAACATCAGTTTTTTTTGTTGAATGACGACTTACGAACATTTCAAGTTACGAACGGCCGTTCGGAACGTATCTCATTCGTAAGTAGAGGAGCATCTGTACTGCTATGTATGCACTGTTATGTCGATACTAACATCGCTTCATTCATCATTACCAGTATAGCTGCCACAACAACAACAACAATAATAATAACGATAATAGTAAACTGGCTTCGGGATGTTCGGGATGTGTGGTGTAGTGAGCGGGCATATGAAGGCTGTCCCCGTGGCAGGTGGAAGACTCACAAGTGGCGTCGCTGCCAGCTGGTCCCTTGGTACATTCGCCAGGACAGCCCAGGTGCCCAGGAGAGCTGTGGGCCGGGCATTCAGATGAGAGGTAACTCCGAATGCACAGCCATTTGCCGAATAACCTCGACTAACGATCACTATAAGACTTGAAATGATCTAAGGCAGCGCTGTCCACAGGACATGTATCGCAAGCAGTAATTAATCACGGAGTATGTGATTTGAAGGAGAGATTCTGACTGTGATGCTGTTCAGACCCAGCTGTTCAGGGGGAGTCCAAGGTGAGCCTCACCCAAATAATCACAACCTTGGCCCACCCCCGGGCTGGACAAATGCCAATCAAAGATTTTTATATTGTAAATGAGCAGGAAGGAAGCCAGTTTTTTTAGATGGAATTTTTGATCTGGTCTGTCACACCCAAACTTCCCCCTCTCTCTCTCCCCCCCCCCCAGAAAATCCTGTGGTCCACTCCACAGCCCAGCCTGGTGCCATGGCTAAAACCCATCACAGGCAGAACTTAAAGGCATTCATATTCAGAATTATGGCCTCTCTTTTGCTCCAAACCTTCGTGTGCTTGCTCAGTGTATCTTCATTAAAGATAAGGACAAAGAAACCCTTTATCACAATTGTAATGGTTTATAAAAACAGTGTCTTTCACTTTTTTAAGAACATGTCAAAAACCTTTTTTTTTCCGGGCTCTGGGTTCCAGCATTTCACCAGCATTGGGACACTCTTCACTACACTGGAGGTGATGTGTAGCTGAGGATTGGAGGCTGGCTGACAGACGTGTAAAGACCCTGTCATTTACTGTAAATATTGAAATATAGGGACAGTAGGTCAAAAGGCATGGAGGCTGATTGACAGAAGGCAACGGGGAATATGTCTAGTGTGTGTTGATAAGGGAAATTACTGGCTGCTTGCACAATGTATAAATTAGGATCTCTATATTTCCACTATAGAACAAGGATGTCTCAATGATATAAAAAGTGGAACAAAGAAATCTGTGTCTCAGTTAAAGGTGCAATTTTTTAGGATACAAAGGATACAATTTACTAAATGATCTCACACAATGTAATAGAATAATTCCTCGGCCTGTATTAAGGATTACGTACCTCACACATTGCTAAATCAAAATTTGTTGTCCCCACAAAATCAGTAGAGATGACTGTAGGTAGCACCTCTTTGCCCACAGTCACGTTCTTTATACTGTGATAGAGCAAACCCCTTCCCCCACCAGTGGGTGTAGAATGAATGGGGGGGGTCCTCTTTGTGGTCCCTCCACCCCGCCCACACTCATGGCCTATGTTAGGTAGCACGTGCAGCTTTTTATCAGGGTCTTATCAACATTAGCTGAGGCTTGTTTGAAGTGGATCATCCAGGCAGAGACCTACCATAGCAAAGTGGTCTTGAGTTAACCCAGAGTCCGACCCATTCGCCATTCACAGTGAAGAATACAGTCCCAAAAAAACGACTGAAGAGGTTTACGTGTGTGTGTGTGGTTAGGTGTGAGGAAATGTGCTGTTGAGAGGCAAATAGATTTTTCTTTCTCTTTGTTTACTTGGTCTTAGCAACCCCACGGGTCATTTGGAAAAAAAAAGATGTGGTTGAATCAGTAGTGTGATTTTGTCACCGAGGGAGTCGTTATGGGACTGGCCTGACTTCCGCCCGCCCACCCACGCCATGGTTTCTGGCTCCGTTATTGGCAGAGACCCTGTTAGTTGCTTGTTGTTTTATGGCATAACTTGGTACCGAACACTGAATTATCACTGGAATACAGTAAAGAGGTACCGGAATATACAGTATGATCCCAATGACAGATTTATGCAACTGTAAATTTGCGCTTGTAAATGATCTAACTGGCCTTATTATGTTACTCTCCTGAAGAGTATTTACACGTGGTCTGGGAATTAATAGCATTTCACTGTATGTCACATCCTGAACAGCTCTCGGATCTTTTTTAGGAACTTGAGTCCATGTGATTAGTTACAGCTGTTCTCTGTATTGTCGCTTCTGGCAGCTCGGCTTCCAGTGCTATTTCCCACCGTTTCCTTCCCTGACTTGTAACCCCGCAGCCGTCTCGTGTCGGGGGCAGGAGGGCGGGGCGGCCGACATCGCGGAATGCATGAAGTCCGCCGGCCCCATGCCAGGCGTCACGCAGACCTGCCAGCACCCGTGTCAGGACCACTGTCAGCTCACCAGCTGGTCCAAGTTCTCGCACTGTACTGCAGACTGCGTGGGCGGGAGGACGCGGAAACGGGTCCTCATAGGTAAGGAATGCTAGCATTTATATATATATATATGTGCGTATATATAGTAAATGAGCAGAGTGTGGATAAAATATTGGAAACACCAAATGAAACGAATCACAATTACAGTCACAGCTAGGGCTGGGCGATGTACTAATGTTCTAATATCGAATTTGCATGTTATGTATGTGCAGTTGTCACATCGCATCGGCCGCGATAGTCACTTGGGTTGAGATCAGGTTTGGGCCCAATCTAATTTTACCATCATACCATCCAGACATTATACAGTGGTATATAGCTTTGCAATTTTAATGATTGTTCCTTTTCAAGATTATCTGGTATATTTAAAAAAAAAAATCAGTGTAAATTTCACTGCCTCAGCTTTTGCTTGAGCTCTACATGCGCTCTTCAAGACAATCATGATCATTCTTGTCCTTGCTGTCGGCCTCATCCATGCACCGTGTGAAACATCGAGAAACACTGAACAAAAATGAGTGAAAAAGAGAAAAGTGAACAAGAACTGGTTACCAAAAGACATCAGCCTTCTGCTGCATGGAAATATTTAGCATTTCATAGCGATGATATTAAACAAAAGCAAGTGATTTGCTGGCACAACTCACAAAACAAACTTATCTGATGGACTCTATTGGTAGATGATTGTTGTATTTCGCTGTAGTTTTGGTTACATTTTGAATACATATTACATTATTTATTTGACATTTTTCTAGAGTGGAGTGGTTCAACTCGCTTGTCATCGATATGTAATCTTAATTAATGCAAATCTGGATGAAAATAAATGTTGAGATATTGTATAAGCATGTGGAAACAATGTCATGATGAACATGCACCGTAATCAAAGCTAAAGGTGGTCCAACAAAATATTAACGTGTGCAGCCTTTTTTTTGCCCTAGCAGTGTATAACAGTGGCCTGAACATTGATATTTTGATAAGTGAATCTTCAAAACAGCATGAGGTAACTAATGAAGAGGCTTAAGAGTCTGAATTTAAGGTGTATCAGGTACAAAAATCAGAAAAGTCGTTTAGTGTGTCGAGGGAAACAGTCTCAACAATCACATCAGCTTCTGAGGAACACTGACAAGCAGCTTTAGTAAAGAGGAAGAACAGGAGCATATTGAAGTTCACAGGCAGAGACAGGATGACACTTAACAGCAAAGATGAAAGACAGTACAAAGGTAGAGCGTCAAGAATTACCACAGAGTCTTAAGAGGAAATGCACTGCACTATGTGAGCTAGAATTTATGACTGGGCTGCTGTTTGGAAATTGCTCGTATTTAAGGTCAAAGCACAACGATGCATCAGCTGGTAGCACATACAAAAGAACCAAATCCCTGAGGGAGACTCCGGGAAAGTTGGCTACTTTCTGTCATGATATGGTGCAAACATGGTTCCCTCATGATGTCCCCATATTCCAAGATGACAGAGGCCTAAAGACACAGTTACACAAATTGAAATGTGGCTTCACGAATACAGGATGAAGTCGAATCCCTCCCAATCGTCAGATCTAAACTTTTATGAACCTTTAAGGGAAGTTTTGGAGCTCAGAGTGCAAAGAATATTTATCCATCAAAGACCTGGAGGTTTTTCTTCTCAGAGATATATTTATCTCTGTATATATTAATATTTATACATATTTATTTATATCTATCATGTAAGCAGTATCCTGTAGTGCTGTTTTACTCACTGACATTATTTACCTATAAATAAACTTGCATATTTTTTTTCCCAGAAAAAACAAAATATATAGAGGATAAAGTGGATCAACCTTAATCTGACAAAATAAATAATAATACTAATAATAACTTAGAAGTAAAAAGCTTAAGACACTTTTGCTTTTTTTTTCAAGAAACACTGAGCCGGTTTCAGAACATGAGCATGAAAAAATTTATGGAAAAACAGCATCTCTGCAACAGAGCTGTTTTGTTAATTTCTGTTATGTGTAATTCGTACAACATGTAAAGTACTTTGGCTGTATTTTGACTGCACTGGACAGTAAAATTAACTGTCGAAAGATTTCGCTCCACCAAAATCCAGGGAAGAGCAAGAAGAGGGAGCAGTGCCGGAACCCGCAGACGTACCCCCTGAGTGAGACTCAGTACTGCCCCTGCAACAAGTACAGCGCCCTGCCTGTGGGCAACTGGTCAGACTGCATCCTCCCGGAAGGCCGACTGGAGGGCGTACTGGGAATGAAGGTGCAGGGAGACATAAAGGAGTGTGGTCAGGGATACCGCTACCAGGCTGTCATGTGCTATGACCAGAACGAACGTCCTGTGGAAACATCACGCTGCAACAGTCATGGTGAGCCTCACGGTGTTATAGTTCCTTAAGGGGGGTGGGGTTAGGGTTAGGGTTAGGTTTAGGTTAGGGTTAGGATTAGGTTAAAGTAAAGTGTGAAAATGAGCAATTTCACCAGAAAGCATGCATGGTAGGCCACACACCTCTATATAAGCCATACACCTCATACTCTACACCAGTTTGATACTTGAAACAGTATGCTTACATTGAGACAAGGTCAGGCCAGTGGACATGCACGGGGGCTGCACTTACAGCAGAGTTTAGAGGGATTCATGTTCTCCCTCTTGGGCTGTCCATCCTGCTAACCTTAACAGCATGCTGGAACTATGCACCAGTTGATTATTCCCCCAGAGGCGGCCTTGCAGATTAGTGGGTGTTGTTTATTTCGAATTTCAAGGGAAGGAATCGGTGTAAAAGGATATGCTGCTTTTAGCAGCCATGAAATGCACCTTAAGCATGAAATTTTGGTATTGTCCCTTGTTTTGTACAAGAAGAATCCTGCTCATGCAGATAACCAAACTGCAGAGGCCTTTCAAATACATCTCACACATAGTCATCCTGGACAGAGGCAAGGTTCATGTGAATTTGTAGGGAGTACAATTAGGTAGAGGCTGGTGGATTTGTAGAGGTAGGGTTCATATGGGCATGGAGGGTGTAGGATTAGCTAGAGGCAGTTAGATATGTAGAGGCAGGGTTCCTGTGGGTATGGAGGGTGTAGGGTTTGCTAGAGGTAGTTAGATATGTAGAGGCAGGGTTCCTGTGGGGATGGAGGATGTAGGGTTTGCTAGAGGTAGTTAGATATGTAGAGGCTGGGTTCCTGTGGGTATGGAGGATGTAGGGTTTGCTAGAGGTAGTTGGATATGTAGAGGCAGGGTTCCTGTGATTATGGAAGGTATTGGGTTTGCTAGAGGTAGTTGGATATTTAAATGTAGCACTCATTACAAAAGGACCCAATAAAGAGTGGCTAAGGGGCAGCGAGGAATGACATGGGACTCATATAATGACAGTGAGTAATACTGGTAGTTTGTAAATGACCCCTAGATCCAACTATATTGGTTAGTAATGTCTGCATGTTATTAAAGAGTGTGTTAGGAAGGATTCCCTGAGCTGGTAGTAAAAGTAAACTCTGTAGTAGATAAAGCAATTATAAATGAAACTGAGATCATTTAAATATAGAACATTAACAGGAGAAATCAGACATTGCATTATGCACAGAGATGATGTTAATTCACAGAAGGTGAGTTTTTGCTAAACAAATAGCATAATCTAAAGAGGGTCAACTGGTTTTCTCTTTCACATATAACCTTATTAGCTTGAGAAGGCTCTCCCTCAAGCTATGATTAGAGAAGTGACACTCAATAACACTTAATGTGAGAAAGACCCCCCCCCCCAGCAAATGGCAGAGGTGCTGTTAGTGCTGCAAATTGGTATTTGTGATCAGATAAAGCTTTGCTCGGTGTATTTCTGCTGGAGGGAATCTGTTCATTGTTTTTCTTGTTAAATTAACTTTTTTTCACAGACATAGGATATTGTCAATTTAAAACACACTCAAACGCTGTAGAAAAGCTTAATAAAAATATAATAACTTACTAAAATTTCTGTGTGGCTCTTACACACTAAATAAGACAAAAATATCTCCCAAAATAATAACAAGCACAGTAAAATTCCACAATTTCTTGCTGCAAAACCTTCTTTCAGTCCAGTATAAGAAAATCCCCCTAAATGTCACATGATCCGCTCGAATTTCAACTGATTTTTAATATAGATGCTTTCTATAAGGGGTGCATAACATGCCTTTATGTCTGCCATACATATTTCATTCTGGTATATGTATAGCAAGCAGGTGGCTCAGTGAGTTGTACTGTTGCCTTATATTTCTCGGGTTGGGGGCTTAAGTCTGGATTTGTGCGGATGGCGTTTGCCTATTGATTGCTGCACGGATCACCTCTGGGTTTAGGGGACTGGGCGTCTCTGAACTGCCCATAGTGTGTGATAAGACATGCGTATTGTATTGTATCCCATCCAATACATTTACATATCAGTACATAACCAATACATTTACATATCAGTACATAACCGTAGACATGAATTCCTGAAGGATGTTTGACCCCAGAGTGGCACCCCTGGCATTAGGGTATATCGAGGAGGCGTGCATCATCGCCTGCCCCTCAGACTGCAAGCTCAGCGAGTGGTCCAGCTGGTCTCGCTGCAGCAAGTCCTGTGGCAGCGGAGTCAAGGTCCGGTCCAAATGGCTGCGAGAGAAGCCGTACAACGGTGGGCGTCCGTGTCCCAAACTGGACCACATCAACCAGGTAAAGTGTGACCTCACGTGCTCAGTGTGGTCATACGCATAATGAACAATGCAAAAAATGCAGTACACTATATATGTATTTTCATATGTTTTATTTACAGTATATGAAAGAATTATTGTAATTATGCATTTAAAAATGTATATGCTTGGCATTTTTGGATACATATTATAAAATTTTATGACCAGAAACTGATGCTAGAATTTTATGTGAAATATAATGTTATTTAATGATGATGTTTAGGATATTTTACATGAACCTGGTCCATTTACGATCACATTGAAAGATTAAGAAATTATTAAACATTAAAACAATGCTTTATCTTCCAGTACACTCGCATTATAAAAAAGCTTTGCAAACTGCTTCTCACGATTTTAATTCTTCCCGTTAATGAAATTTCTCCCCGCTCCATTTCTCATATGGAAAATGGTTCACCAACAGGCACAGGTGAGCAAACTAAACATGTGATATTGTAAAATAATTGCATCGATAACCATCTGCACATTCTGCATGTTTGTATATCTTATCCATCCTGTACGGTGCCCTCGTATGGACTCCTCGTATGGACTCCTCGTATGGACTCCTCGTATGTTTACTACCGTTTCCTGTTATGTTTCTCGTGATGCCAGGTGTATGAAGTGATTCCCTGTGTCAGTGACTGCAGTCAGTACATGTGGGTGGCTGAGCCCTGGAGCACCTGGAAGATCAGCAGTGTAGAGCAGAAGAACTGCGGCGAGGGGGCTCGCACCCGGAAAGTCCGGTAAGCGGTGCCTTGGGGTTTTTTTTTAATTCTGCTTTGTTTGCCTTTTGCACCAGTATTATTACAGCCACACTGGAATGTGGCTTTTCACATATCCCATCTTGCGGTGCTTTGAGACACACGCATATACACATACACAGTTGAGAGCAAAGCTGGGGTCCGAGAGCAGCGTCAAGCCATTTAAGCGGCACCCCGGAAGTTTTCTGGGGGGCTTAAGGGGCTTGCTCAAGGGTCCACTAAACATGGGACTGTTCTACTGAGGATGGGACTTGAACCGACGACCTTCTGATCAGACGCGGAGGCCTAATCCCCATAACCACACCATCGCCGTCCTTCACATCAGCTGTGCGAATTGCACGGGGAACACGTGTTTGCTTTCCCCCCCCCCCCCGAAAGGTGCATGCAGAACACCAGTGATGGGCCGTCTGAGGTGGTGGAGGAGTACTTGTGTGACCCTGAGGAGATGCCGGCTGGCACTGAGCACGGCCACCTGCCCTGTCCCGAGGACTGCGTCCTGTCCGACTGGGGGCCCTGGGGTCGCTGCATCTTGGTGAGAGTCGGCCGACACCTGCCTGCAAATCCATTTCACACCTTCGGAAGCGAGAAGCAGGGCCACCCATGTGCTGAGGGGGGGGGCAGGGGTGTGTAAACGAGGCTGTTTGAGGGCCAACGCTCCACTACGGCGTCTGCACCTGAGGAGAGGAAGTGCTAAATGCGGCATGGCTTTTTTTTTTGCCAATTTGAGCCTCGACACGGCCTCAGCGGGTCTCTCCTGCAGAGCTGGCTGATGCATAATTCATGGTGAGGGGGCCGAAGGGGGGGGGACAGGTGGGCGGAGGACTGAGACGGTCCCAGAGACGTAAGCTTTCGAGCTCCGGAGCTCTCTGAAGCTGTGCGGGTAGCTAAGGCGCAGGGAAAACGAGGCTTTACGTATTAATGCATTTTCACGTTAATACCTGCCAGCCCATAATCCATACCTACACCCTCCCCCAAGTGTTCTGCCCACGGATCTACCAGCGAGGCTAATTACTGTGGCTGTGGGAATATCCCGCTGGGGGCCCGAAGGCATTCGACCCAAGAAATAGCTTGACTTCAGAAAAGATCATTTTAATCCGCTGCAAAAAATAATATCTGGGTCATAAATCACTCCGGGATGTGACAGGTGTTAACTGAAAACTGCCACATTCACAGAAACGTAAGCAGGTTGTCTTGCATTCATCTTTAATTAACTGTTGACCCTCGCAGAAAGTACAAAGCAACGGTAAATTTTCTTGTATTTTATCTGCTAATGAGTTAGCGGCAACATAAATATGCACCGAAGGATTGCATGTCGTAAACGGCTGACCTCATACCCACCATTCAGAAAATACTGCATTGTCCTTCTAACTGAATGTGAGAACGTAATTTGCAGTCTGTCCTTGAGTGAAGACAAAAAGAAATGATACTAAAACTCCAGATGTATGTACCTTTCTTTTAAAGCCCTGACTTTCACAGAGGAATTTGTGTCGGATTTTTTTTGCAGCCATGCAATGGGTACAACAGGAGGGAGCGGACGGCACGCGTGCTGAGGCTGCCGGAAGCAGGGAGACAGTGTCCAAACGCGACCCAGACTGAGGCCTGCGCCCTGAACATCAACTGCTACTACTTTATCTATAACATCACAGGTAAACACGTACGCCTGCTGTGGCTAGACTTAGGGGTGTAGCTAGAAATATTGGGTCCCTTGACAAAATGCCACCATTCAAAGACATGCAGGTTCTTTGTACATATGTACAAGCGGGTGGGACAGGCCTACGACGGTCGGCTTTGGGGCTCCCATAAAGCGCTGGGGCCCTCGACGGTCGGCTTTGGGGCTCCCATACAGCGCTGGGGCCCTCGACGGTCGGCTTTGGGACTCCCATAAAGCGCTGGGGCCCTCGACGGTCGGCTTTGGGGCTCCCATAAAGCGCTGGGGCCCTCGACGGTCGGCTTTGGGGCTCCCATA